CTTCAGCTCCAAGTGGCCCACGCAGGTACCGCTGCCGCTGGTTCCAAAGAAGCTGAGAGCAGCTCCTGGAGGCCTGAGCACCATGACTGCTCCTGCTGCGCAGGTGGGCGGTGGGCGGACTGGAGACCTCAGCCTCCAGCTGCGACCCTGTGGCTCTGGTGATACTTTGGGCATCAGGATAAAGGATGCCCACCCCCACCCACTCCAGTCTGCCCACACACGGCTGGACCTTCGTTGGGCCATTCACTTTTAAGCTGGGAATAGTGGCTACCTTTGTTACCTTTGTATCCCAGCATGAACCCCATGCCTTGCACACAGTAGGTGCTCAGTAAATGAATACACAAATGGATGGTAGACTTTTAAGAATAACTACTGAAGAGTGTACTTCCCTTGAGGTCACACAGCTAAAACCTGCTGCAGGGATGGAAGCAAAATAGAACTTCCTTCCTCAGAGCACTAGTCCTAACACTTTCAAACTCTGGATCCAGAGAGCCCGAGGGGTCTGTCTCATTCTTCGTAGGAATACCTGTGTCAGTATCTGGACCGGACTTGAGGGCTTGTCAGAGGAGGCGGGGCAGGAATTCTCCTTCACTAGGGCCACAGACAGTGCATGGTAGAGACTGGAGTCTGGAGCCGAACTGCCTGAGTTCTCTGACCTGGGCCAGCTGAGTGGAACCCCCCGGACTTTTCAGTGTATAATGGGGGTGATAACAGAACCTATCTGGCAAGGTTGTGATGCAGGGTAATGAATTATTATTTGCAACTAAAATGTATTTATGAATATATATATATATGTGGTTAAACTTATTTTAATGCTTCTGGGACTTCTCTCATGGTCCACTGGCTAAGACTCCATGCTTCCATTGGAGGGGGCCCGGGTTCAATCCTTGATTAGGGAACTAGATCCCACATGTTACAACTAAAAGATCTTTCATAGTGCAACTAACACCTGGTGCAGGAAAATTAAAAAACATATATATATAAACAGTATCTAAACCAAGCAGTCATGTCCAACTCTTTGCGACCCTATGGACTATATAGCCTGCCAGACTTCTCTGTCTATGGGATTCTCCAGGCAAGAATACTGGGGTGTGTTGCCATGCCCTCCATCAGAAGATCTTCCCAGCCCAGGGATCGAACCCATATCTCTGATGTATCAGGCACTGGCAGGTGGTTCTTTATCACTAGTGCCAACTGGGAAGTCTATCTATCTATCTATATATATATGTATAAAGAAATACTTCTGGAGGCAATCTGTTCACAGAGGGCAGTGTCCAACCTGGACCCTGTGTTAAGGGGCGCCTCAGAGGAGGGTCGCAGGGTATGTACTGGGGCTTGGAAGGTGTACAGCACCTCTCGTTGCTCCTCAGGATCACAGTAGGAGAAACCTGCGAGAGGAGGTGGGGAGCAGTAAGCAGGTAAGCAGCCCACTGGACTCTAACCGTGCTGCAGTTTCCTGGCCCCCGAGGTCCGTTTCAGCGATGCTCTGATGTCACTCTGGGCTCCCTCCTTGCTTGCCTCTAAAAGTCCAGGAGGCCCCTCTGTGGGAAAGGGTCAAGATACCGCCCTTTCTGCTGATTCACAAACAGTAGCCCTAACCCTAACCCTGACCCTAACCTTCTGACTCCTCAAAGCAACTTGAATGGTTGCATCTCCAAATCCCTGACATGCCTTCCCTGCCCTAAAATTGGAAGACCCCTCTATTTGAAATGTCATGAGTACCAGGAAAGGGCTGGAACCTCTGCTAACTGGGTGCCCCCAGGAAGGTCCACAGGGGCTTTCTGCTGCTCACAGGGTGTGGGCAGCACCACCATCCATGCCCACCAGATGACACTCCCCACCTGAGTCTCTGATGACAGTCTCCTTTGGACTCAACTTCCCAAATCAAGTCACCGAACCTGTTTAAACACAGACGTGCACGATACAACAAAACCAGAATCTTAAAAGGGTGTAGCCGCACACAGAGGTGAGTCAAACCATGTCAGGCGGTTCTCAACTGGCCCACAGGAGGCAAGTGCCCAACCATTGAGTGGGGAGGGAATGGCCCCCGCTCCAGCCCCCAGATGGAAAGGCATGGCCAGGCAGAGACAAGATCTGGGACCACTGGGTACACTGACACCTAGCAGCATCTGCACTGCCTGGAAAATCTCCCATGGATGAGCAGGTCCATAACTCAATGAAGAATAAGATCACTGACAAAAGAATGCAGGAAAGAATATGGCAGCTAAAAATAGACATAGAGATATCTAACACACATAAGAATTTTCTATTCACCAATAACCCAAGACTAGAAATTAAAACAGTGGGGTACTGTTTCACTTATCTAATTTGGAAAGAATAAGAAAATACCCAGTACTGGAGGCTATACCAGAGGGAGGGAGGGAGGGAGGGGATAGACATGAAGCAGGGTGTATACGTTTATAGAAGAGACTTTTTGGAAGAAAATTCAGCAATATGTATTCAAAGTCTTAAAAATTTGCATATTTTTCACTTAGTAATTTCATTTCTAAGAATCTATCCTAAAGAAATAATAAAAGTCCTGCAGTGAAGTAAGAGAATCAGTATCTTTATAAACTCGGTGTGCTCAGTCGTGTTGGACTCTTTGTGACCCCATGGACTGTAACCCACCAGACTCCTCTGTCCGTGGGATTTTCCAGGCAAGAGTACTGGAGTGGGTTGCCATTTCCTTCTTCAATCCCTGAGATGCTTTATATACTTTATATGATATATATTCTATATGTACTGTTTATACAAACGTTCAAATGCAAAGTTGTTATTCACAACATTGTTTACTCTAAAAAAATGGAAAATAACCTAAACAGGATATTGGTTAGGTTAATTATTGTTCACATATAAGATGGAATACTATGTAGTCATTTCAAAAATATGTCTTCTGAAAATATTAATGACATAAAACAAAACACTTCACTGTTAAGTTGAAAGTGGAAAGTTGAGGGCTACAGAAAAATATACCTATAAAACATGACCCTGATTCTGTCAAACGAAGACATCTGCATGTACAGATGCACATAAAGGGTCAGAAGGACATGCGACCACACTTGGAATGTGAGAATTACCTCCGCTTTGTGCCTGTTGCGGTTTCTACATTTTCTACAATGATAGTGTATTTGTTTAGAATCCAGAAAAGCCTCCAGCAGTTGGGCTTCCCTGATAGTTTGGTTGGTTAAAGAATCTGCCTGCAATGCAGGAGACTCCAATACAATTCCTGGGTTGGGAAGATATGCTGGAAAAGGGATAGGCTACCCACTCAAGTATTCTTGGGCTTCCCTTGTGATTCAGCTGGTAAAGAATCTGCCTGCAATGCAGGAGATCTGGGTTCAATCCCTGGGTTGGGAAGATCCCCTGTAGAAGGGAAAGGCTACCCACTCCAGTATTCTGGCCTGGAGAATTCCACGGACTGTATAGTCCATGGGGTCTCAAAGAGTCAGACTGAGCGACTTTCACTTTTCAGTATCTAAACCAAGCAGCCAAAACTGGATTAAAACCTTTAGTGGTGTTATTCTTCCCCCACACAATGGACACCAGAGGCCACGGGTGTGTCACATAGCCCTGGGCCCCCGTCATCAGTACCAAGGCCACAAAACGAGAGAAACGTGGGGAAGGGGCGCGGGATGGAGAATGCTTGGCCTGCAAAGACGTCAGATGGCTTGGCAGGAGGAATGTCAGGATAGCGCCTATTCTTCGAGAAAACACTTCAGGTGCAGGAAACCACGTAACCAGGGCCCCAGAGGCCAAAGAGAAGATGGAAGAGACCTGCCTGCTAAGGAAGCTGGGACACCATGGACCTCACTTAAGGCCGGGGGTTGGGGGGGGGCTCAGTGTAGAGTGCACTGTGGAGATGTTGAAGCTGTGTTCCTTTAGACTTTTCAGGTGTATGCAGATACTGGTGGGGCTGATGAGACAGTCATATAGTGAAAGCCACTAGAGTTCACAATGGCCCTGTGTGGCCTTCTGTCTTCCCCTCACACAGCCAGTCAACTCCATGTAGACTCCTCCCCAGCACTGGTCTTCCTGCTATCCCTCTGAAGGGCCAAGACCGCTCCCCTTGGCCTGAGACATTCTCCCCAGACATCTGCATAGCCCCTTCCCACTGCAGGTCTTCTGGGAAGAGAGGAAAAAGTCAGATTGAGTGTGAAATGGCAGCGCCGTTACCAGAGCTGGGGAGTCAGAAGTGCATGCAGCTGGCTGGGAGAGGTACAGACAAATCACAAGTATTTGACAGAAATGCTGGGTAGAGTTAGGGGCTACCTGATGGGGGAGAGCCATCAGGTCCAGACAGTTTCTCTGTCTCAAGGCTTTGGGAATTGACCAGCTGTGGCAGAGGGCTAATACCAACAATTCTGAGAGGATGAGAGACAGTTTTCAGACCCGAAATCCTAAAATGCCACAGAGTCCTGATCTGCAGTGCTTAGCTCCTACAACTGTGGGTGCTCTGCAGTTTAGAGGTGCTTGCCCATTCATTGCCTCATTTGATCCTGTCAGGCTACAGAATAGGTTCAGTAACCATTGTACAGATGAAATAACTAAGGCTCAGAAAAGTTAAATGACGTGCCTGAAAGCTCACAAGGTTGGTGGCAGAACTGGCTGGATTTTGGCACGATTTTCTCCATATGCAAACCCAGGTGTTACGGCGAACCATTTAGATTGGATAAAGACTTCACTGTCATAATGGTTTGCCTCCCATATTTTGACAAGAGCAGCTGGAATAAGGCTCCCTGCAGAGGTGGACCCTGTGAGTGGGTGAGAGAGCGGTACAGAACGGGGAGCCATGGGGCCCCACTGGACAAACAGTAAGACAAGCCACCTTATCCTAAAGGGTCTGGGGCAGTGGTGGTGTGTGTATAACCAGCCAGCCCAGCAGGGCCCAGCCTGGTGTGGCCCTCCAGGACTGTTCCCAAATTCAACCAAAACGTCCTCCCCCTGCCACTCACCCCTGGCGGAGCAGTTACTGCATCTGAACTTGAACCCAGGCTCAGGCCATGGGGCAGCCCTCCTCTTCACTGGGGGTCAAGGAGGAGGGGGAGCCTGAGGTAACCCACTGGGCCACCAGAACACCCACAGCTTCCCATCCCCAGGAGACGCAAAGGCAGACTCATACTCTACAGGCCTCAGGGGTCCACGGTGTCCAGAGTGCAGGACTACAGGATAAAGGCTGGTGAGGGCATTTCCTCCAGGGCTAGCCCTCCAGAGCTGCATCTGATCAGGCAGATGCCGGCCACCATGGCCGCGGAGCCCAGGGAATTCGGCCAGTGAGATTCGTGAACAGCCTGTGCTGTTCATCACTTAAAACCAAACAGCCACCTTGCAAGGGTGAAAGGCCGCCAGGAGGTCCCCTCACGATGGAAGTGGTCCTTGCGGAGACTGCTGGGCCTCAGGAATGCATGCATGACAAACTGTGACCTGAAAACCCCGCAGGCCCTGGATGTGACACGGTGATACAAGATGGTACCTGTGGGGAAGTCTCTGTGTTCTTTCTCACAACTGCCTGTTAATCTATGATGATCTCAAAACAAATAGTTAAAGCGAAACACCAAGGGTGCTCAGTGGCTATTGTCAAGGGACAATGAGTTCTAAGAAGACACATTCCCACTGAGTTGAAGAAACGTCAGTTATTTGGTGCTCCCACTCAGGCTTGTCGGTTCCTCCCCCCCCACAACTCACAGCGTTCACTTTTGATTTGGGGGTGTGGGGCGTTCTGGGGCTAAAAAGAGATGAGTGCTGGGCCAGGGTCACAGAATTAGCATTGGAGATAATTAGATATGAGGCTTCATAAATAGACTGCCCAACAAGATGTGATGAAATCCCACAACTCATTCTGTGGGGTTCCTGCAGAGAACCCCCATCCTCGGAGGAAGCCCTGGAAATCCTACGCCAAAGGACCCCACCTTGATCGGTAGGGGCAGCCCAGACAGAGGCCACCGGGTTAGTCTTCCCAGAGACTAACCAGACAGCACACACGCCGGCGACCAAGTGTGCACAGAGGTGGAGGTCAGAGCCCACCCTCGGGTCTGGCCCCTCTGCCACCACTCAGGTTCTCCTCCTTGCCTGACCAAGCCAGGCTGGGGGAGCGCAGAGAAAGGGCGAAAGCCGCATCCCAGGCAGCAGTAAGCCAGAGGGCCCCTCCTCCAGGACCCTGAACAACTGCTGTTCTTCCTCTGCGGCAAGGTCCACCCCTGAGACCCTAGCAGACAAAAGCTTCTGCCGCGAAGGTGCCGCCCCCGCAACGGGCAGAAGCGCCAGATCCTATCAGCCAATTATCCAAACGCGCACAGCCACCCGCAAGTTTGGGCACGCTTGGGCCGGGGCGCGGGCTGCGGGAGGGGCCGCCGGTCCGGCGCGCCCGGGGAATCTGGGCCTGGGCGCGTCGGGAGGCTGAGGGGCTGGTACGCAGGGCCGTGCTGGGGACCGGGGGTCCGGTCCGGGGATCGAGGACCCGCTGCCTGTTTCCCCCTCGCCGGTTCCGAGGCTCCTCCGCTGCCTAGGAGGCGGCGCAGCCAGGGCCCTCCCCCGGCCCGGGCCCCCAAGGCCCCTCCAGGGCCCCGAATCCGTTCAGCCCCCGGGTCGCCCCGGAAACATCGCCCCTCCACCGCGCGGTGCGGTTCGAGTGCAGCGGCCCGAGCAGGGCTGGCCGCGCGCCTTGGGCACTCCAGGGGCCGCGCGCGGGAGGAGCGGGGTACGGCGGCGCGCGCCGCCCCAAGGACCCGCCCCCCGATACCCTAGAACCCACGTCCCGCCCCGAGCCCGGAGAATCCACCACCAATCCCTGCCCAGCGCCCAGAATACCCGCCGCCAGTCCCCGCCCCGGGCCCAGAGCACCGGTCCCCCGAGGACCCGCCCGGAGCCCGGAGGACCCGCCCCACGAGCCCCAAGGGCCCACGTCCCGCTCGGCGCCCCGAAGACCAGCCGCCAACCCGGTTCCCGGAGGACCGGCCCGGCGCCGAGAAAACCCGGCTCGCATCCCTGGGACCAGCCCCACGAGCCTCAAGGCCCAGCCTCGCGCCCTGAGGACCCACCCTCCGAGTCTAGTGGACCCGCCCCCCTGTCCCAAGGACTCATCAGACGCCCCACCCAGGGCTCGTCGGCCCGCCCCCGGAGAAGTCGCCGCCAGTCCCCTCCCCGAGCCCCGCCCACGGGCCCGCCCCCGAGGACGCCTCTCCCCGGTGGGTGCTCACTCCAGTCCGCAAAATCAAGAGCCGAGGAGAGAAGCCCGGTTGACCCTCCCGGGACGCCCTATTCCCAGCTCGGCGCCCACACTTTTTCTCCCTTGCTCGCTTCCGCCAAGATTTTGTTAGCATCCCCCTGTCGTCCAGGAAAGGGGTGTGTTTTGGCTGATTTTTAACGTTGTCTTAAGTGATACCGGACTCAAGGAGGCCTGACCCCCTTGGGTCCACCTGTCCGTTAGAGCTGCCAGGTGGTAGATGGTTTGGGCAGAGGTTCTGCAGGGAGGCAAAATCCTAAGGCGTAGTCTAGCACAGGCCAGAGGAAAAGGGTTCGGAAGGGTCAGAAGCAGCTATAGGCCTGTCTGATGAGAAGGAAGACTTCTGCCAGGGCTGGTAGAAGCAAGAAACTGTTAGAAGAAAGACGTCGTCAGTTGTGAGCAATGACATGGGTGCTTCCTATCTAGAGCGCTCTGGAAGCCGGGCTGCGGAAACCGAAATCCTCGCTCTTGAGGAATCTCTGATGAATCCAAGAACACAGGACAAGTAGGTGCTTCAAGACTGCTGTGAAGCGTGCTACACAAATTTACAATCCAATTTAGTAGATTATATCACTTTTTTGTAGTTGCATTCATAGGAGAAAAAGGAAGAAGAAATACAAACGTGTTAATTATACATACAGAGGGGTGTATTAGTTAAATTTATGGTTTTAAATGTAATAAAAAACAGAACAAAAATATAGCCTTTCCAAAATTTCAGAACATTCTATGTATATATAAAGTGTGAAACTAATGCAAACATATTGTGAAATACTTATAAAATTCTCTAGATAGGGACTTACCTGGTGGCCCAGTGGTTAAGAATTTACCTTCCAATGCAGGGGACGGGGTTTCTATCCTTGGCCAGGCAGCCGAGGTCCCACATGCTGCTGGGCAACTAAAGGTGCATGTGCAGCAGGAGGAGCTGCAGACTGTAGTGCAGAGCCCCTGCAGCCAGAAAGCAGTTCCACAGACAGAAAACACAATGTAAAATGAATAGGAACTGAGAGTATATATATCTGCATGCCTATAAACGTGGATGAGATAAAACACACCTAGTTTAAGGCTTTCAGGTTTGTTCATTAAGTAATACCCAGTCAAAAATGGTAAAGGAGATACAACTACAACAAAGTGACATAGAAAGGATGAAATTTAAAATATCAGTGAAAGAGAGAAAATGGGGTTTTTAATTTAAGATTATGTGGCTTTAGGGACAAAGGCATTACCCTATTTAATGGAAATGAGATACCACAGATGAGAGGATTTAAAAAAAAATCATATGGACAAAATTTTTTTTTTAATGATAATGTTATTCCTTATTCCTGTTAAGTTTACTCAGTTGGTATAAACTCTTTTCACCTGACTTTGGAATCTCTTACATGATATTTAAGTAAAAGGCTCTATTTTTTGGGACACACACACATGATGAGCCTTTATAATGAAAATGGTGGTATGCCAACATGAAGATCTAATACATGTGAATACTGCATTGATTAGCATTCACAAAATAAGATGACAGGAAATAGAATGTGAAACTAACTACTGTACCTTTGTTAAAGTGCACTGTGCTGTGCTAAGTTGCTTCAGTCATGTCTGACTCTTTTCAACCCTATGGACTGTAGCCCGCCAGGCTTCTCTGTCCGTGAGATTCTCCAGGCAAGAATACTGGAGTGGGTTGCCATGCTCTCCTCTAGAGGATCTTCCCGCTCCAGGGATCTAACTGTGTCTCCATTGTCTCCTGCATTGCAGGCGGATTCTTTACCCACTGGGGCTTCTCTGGTAGCTCAGATAGTAAACCGTCTGCCTGCAATGCAGGAGAACTGGGTTTGAACCCTGGGTCGGAAGATCCCCTGGTGAAGGAAATGGCAACCCACTCCAGTACTCTTGCCTGGAAAATTCCAAGGACGGAGTAGCCTGGTAGGCTACAGTCCTTGGGGTTGCAAAGAGTCGGACACCACTGAGCAACTTCACTTTCTTTCTTTACCTGCAGAGCCATCAGGGAAGCCCATAAATTCATTGTGAAATAAATCTGGAGAATTCAAACACCAAATAGAAAAAGTTAAAATCACTCATAGTCATACTACTTAGCAATCAATTCTATTACCTTATGGTATATTTTATCTTTATTTCTTTCTCTGCGTATATATTGATATATCTTGCAAAATTTTGATCTATTTTTTACCTCATGTTATATAAAAAGCATTTTCATTAAATGTTCTTAGAAAATATTGTTTTTAATATTTGAATATAGATATAATTTTAATCATTCCATTACTGGATATTTAGAATGTTTCCAATGTTTAGATTTTATATAATGCTGTTTCTTGAATTTACTTATTTCTGATTTCTTTAGAATCAACTTCTAAAAATGAAAATACTAGGCCATAAAGCACACATATCTCTAACCTCTTCAATACAGATTGCAAAATGCAGTACTTAAATTTAATTTTTATTTCTTTTTAACAAATATGCTGTTGCATGCCAGGGACTCTGATCAGAGAGGCAGCGATTTACAGTCCCTGCTCTTAAGAGAAACAGCAGGCTGGCCAGAGCTTGAGTTCCAGAACAAGTGAAGTAAGCAGGCAGACAGAAGAAATGCTGAGAGATTTCCACAGAGTCAAGAGGAGACTATTCCAGACAGCACACTGAGCATGAGCGTTGTTCTGACAGCTAGAAAGGACTGGGATCAGCCTGTCATCTACAAGAAGTCTCATACATTCCAGGTAGAACCAAAAAATGTCAAAGATACACACTGGGCAAGTAGCAGAGCAAACTGTTTACAGAAGTGATGACTTTCTCTCAGAGGGAAATTTCCTAAGCTGAATGCAGGTTTTTGGCCCCACAGACAGTCGCAGGTTGCTGCTGCCGCTCGTCCCCTGGGGGTAGGAACAGCTCCAGGCGTGCTCATGGGGTGCTCCCGCCCAAAAGTTCTAAGAAGGAGGGAGAGAGGCTGAGGGCACATGCCAGCTCCTCGGGTCGGGGAGAGAGGAGGCTGAGGCCAAAGGACTTGGTGGAGCAGCGGTCACCTCTGCCATGCTGGTGGCCCGTGGTCAGAGCCCCGCCATGTCTGCTTGGTGCTCTCAGTGACCCCCAGGCCCGCTGTGGCCTTTCCTACCCATCTCTCCTCTCCTGTGTTGTAGTCTCTCGTTGGTTGGTGCGATCAGCAGGAGGAAAAGCTGGGAATGCTGGCTGGTTGCGTGTGGAGGCTGAGCGTTCAGCTGAGCCTTGAACAAGGTCAGTGAGGGCTTCAAGCCTGTGGTAGCTTCAGTGTAGACAATCAACTTGCCTGGCAGAGTCTTCCAGTGGGAAAATCTCTTCAAAGTCCAGAAGCTTGATTGAAAACCTCCCTGTGCGTCCTGGGTCACGGAGCCTTGGGAGGCCTCACTGGGCCTCACTTGGGTGTCTGTGGCTGGCAGGTCCACACTTGCCTCAGAAGCCTGACATAAGATGCGGTTCTGTTAGTTATCACTGAGCTGGCTGCCTCAGTGAGGTGTCCAGAGCTGTGAGTGCAGTTGAATGAGGAGGCCCTCAGCAGAGGGCGTGGGGAGGCCTTTTACTTCAGTCGTGCGTCCTGCGGGCACCTATGAGGGGCCTGGGTCTAGGTGAGCTTGGACTGTCCTCTCGGCCGAGCCTTGGCCTTCTTTTTTGTGAGGTGGGCTCCGTGGCTCTTCCCTCACCCACTTCATGGCCGTATCCTGGCAGCAGAAGGACACCGTGTAGCCCCACTTTGAAGTCTTTAAAGAGGTCTGTCAGTCAGAGTGGCTGCACCTTCCCTGGGCCACAGCTGCATCATGTGGAGAGGGTTTTGGGAGTGTGCACGGCCCAGCAGAGGTGTGTCTACATGGAAGGCCCAGCTGCAGAGATGCACACTCCCCATGTGTACATGGTTACAGACCTGTTGCAGACAGAGACCAAGAAGGAAAACGGGCAGGTGTAGGGGTGCAGTCCTCCTCATGTCTATGGCTTCAAATAACCCATCTGAAACTGGTACCCCATCCCCTCAGTATCAAAGGAAACATGCCACAGACCCAGGGAAATATGTTTCCCCAAAGTCCTGGGTATGCCCTCACAGTCGTCAGTATCCAAAATGGAAGTAGCAATAGACTTAAAATCTTACCTCTAGGGACTTCTCTGGTGGTCCTGTGGCTAAGACTCCACACTCCCAATGCAGGGGGCCCAGGTTCGATCCCTAGTCAGGGAACTAGATCCCACAGGCTGCAACCCAGAGAGCATATCCTGCAACTAAAGGTCCTGCATGCTGCATCTAAGAACCGGTGCAGCTGAATAAATAAATGGAAAAAAAGGATATCTTAAAAAAAAACTTCTATGTATTTGAAGACCAAAGGTGTTTCATCAGAATGAAAAGGGATTTAATAATGAAAACACAGAGATAAATTGTTAAGACCCTGATAACAGAGAGGAGAAATGTCAACCTCACATGAGTTACTGAATCAGAGGTTAGGATTTTTGGATGTCAACTGCAGTGGAGAAGAGACTCCAGTCCCACCCCCAACTCCAGAGTGCCTGGTGAGTTCTGCCTGAGGGCGCCCGGGGCTGACCAGAGCAGGGGGGCAAGTGTGGGGCTCCAGAGCAGAGTCATGTGGCCCTCCCTGCTGGGACACCCTGACCCAGACAGCCCTACACAGAGCGGTTCAGTCCAGAATGTCAGCAGCTCTGAGGGGGAGACGCCTAGGCATGCTCTAGTGCCGGCCTGCAGGGAAGGACAGCCCATTCCTCTCCCTGCCCACGAGTCAGGGACAAGCCTCTCCTGTAGCTTGGTGAGACTTAAGGACCTTTTGTTGTCCAGTGTTTGTGAGTGACCTGGCCTCAGGAGTTGGAAATCGGGGACCTGGTTAGCCCCAGATTCCCTGCCCTCCCCTGTGCTGTAGAGCAGGGTCTGAAAAGTCAGGGGGTGCTGCTGGGCTTGGTGCTAGCAGGCTTGGTCTTGGTCTCACTGGTAATACACAGTGTAGAATTTGGGGTAGAAAGAGACAGACTAGGCCAGTTAGTAGTGAGGTCGTGGCTGCTCTGTGGCGCACCCTTTAGTCACTTGGCTTTGGGGTCAGCTGATAAACAGAGGTCTGACGAGGACACAGACTCACACTCTGCAGCCCAGGCCCTTTAGAGTATGCCCCTTCAGACGGCTCTCCCAGCCAGACACCCCCACCTCGACCCTCAATGTGTTTCCAGCTCTGCCCTGGACATCTAGGGGTAGAGTGGGATGTGATGTCCATCTCAGACTAAAGTCCAGGTCAGAGGGGTCAGTCAGCCTGAGGCGGAGAGGACATGGATCCCTAGGTTAGTGGCGAGTATCTCTTGGGATGGAATCATAGGGAGTTTGACTTCCTCTCCATTATTTTCTGCATTGTAAAAACATCTGTATGAGTATACATTTCTGTAATCAAGACCATGTTAGAGTGGAAGCTTAGCGGGGCAGCTTTGCAAAGGGATCCTGCCTGACACTTGATCCCCTGTGTGAAGTTGGGGCCTAGCCTGCAGTGCTGACCTTCTGAAACAACTTACAACCTGTAGACAGGGCATGCTCCTTTCTGGGAGACTTGAGTTCTATGGGTCTCAGCTTCTTCAAATCACTGTGGACAGTGACTGCAGCCATGAAATCAGATGATTGCTTCTTGGCAGGAAAGCGATGACAAACCTAGACAGTGTGTTGAAAAGCAGAGACATTGCTGCCAAAGGTTCATATAGTCACAGCTATGGTCTTCCCAGTGGTGATGTATGGGTGTGAGAGCTGGACCATAAAGAAGGCAGAACACCAAAGAATTGATGCCTTTGAACCATGGTTCAAAGAAGGCTAGAGAAGATTGCTGACAGTCCCCTGGATAGCAAGAAGACCAAACAAGTCAATCCTAAGGGAGATCAGCACTGAATATTCACTGGAAGGACTGATGATGAAGGTGAAGCTCCAGGATTTTGAACTTTTGATGGGAACAGATGACTCACTAGAGAAGCTGCTGATGCTGGGAAAGATTGAGGGCAGGAGAAGAGGACAGCAGAGGATGAGATGGCTGGACAGCATTGCGGATGCAATGAGCATGATCTTGGGCAAATTCCGGGAGGTGGTGAGGAACAGGGAGGCCTGGTGTGCTGCAGTCTATGGGGTCACAAAGAGTCGGACACGACTGAGCAACTGAACAACAACAGCAACAATGTTCCACAAATGTCCACAATTGCCCTTGGAGAATGCTACTCTGGGCACAGACATGTGCTAGAGAGCTGTGATGCTGGTGTTGCCCATCACAGTTCAGTCTCAAAAACTCAGAGCACAGCTCTTTGTTTTATATTTTTCTTCGCTCCTGTGTACGTTGGCTTGCACTTGGCCTTGGCCCACAGGGCATGTCGTCTTCCGCGTGTTGACTGCGGAGCCAGCACACAGCTATGGACTTGTGCTCGAGTGGAGAACGGGGCTGTGAGGGGGTATCGCTGCCCCTCCTTCCCAGGCCCGCTTCCTCTTGTCCAGTCCCAAGGCCTGCCTCTGCTTTTCCAGCGAAAGCAGCTGCTTCCTGTCTGCTGGAACCTGGGCTCTCCCATCTGTCTTCAGTTTTCTGTGTGCTCATAGCTGGGTAGAAACCTGCCTGGGGTTGTTTTTCAGGCAAACTTGAAGTAACTTGCCCACATAGATTAGTTAAGAGCCTGTAAGTCTTGAGGGGATTTGTGGAAAGGACCTAGCAGAGTCTCCAAGAACCCGAAGAGGCAGTGACTGGAGCCAGGTGAGCCACAGGTTAAGGATGTCTGGGTCTCATTGTGTGCGAGGTTGGCTATGTTCCCGCACTGCCCTGCCTCAGTGAAGTGGACGTAATGATGAGAACTCCCCTCAAGAGGTTGTCGTGAAGATAAATGTGTGACCCCACGGGGCACACAGAGCAGCCCCTCATGCTGGGAAATACCCTTGTGTGAGCTGTTGTTGTGGCCTGCTGGCTTCACTTTTCTCCACTTGCTCCTTCTCCGGTGGGAAGCAAGGAGGGGCATGTTAGGGGGAGAGAAGACCAGGAAAGAGGAGCAGAGAGGTCCAGGTAGCAAGGGCTTCTGTTGCTCGTGCATGGGTGGGTGTGGGGTCCAAACTCGGGGCTCTATACCAGAGTGTGCAAGCAAGGGGCTGGGGCTGGGAGCAGGGCATTTACCGACCTCAAGTAGGTCTGGACAGAGCAAGAAGACACCAAGTTTCTGCTGCTACAATCCCAGCTATAAATGCCCAAGGCAATACTTCACCCTTCCTGAGTCCCTGAGAAGTTGGGAGGTGCTAGTGCAAGGGCACAAATTTCAGTGATGCCAGGTGAATAAGTTCTGGAGATTGGCTGTTAAATATGGTTCTTGTCCTTCATAATACTGTACTGTGTACTTAAAATTTACAGATAGGATGGATCCTATCTTAATTATTCTTACCGTACACATAAATGATGATGATACTGGTAATTATCATTAAATTTTTATGGTGTAGACTGTGATCATGGCTTCATGGATGTAACCTATCTCCAAACTCAGCTTTCTGTATGTCAATCATACCTTCTTAAAGTGGGTTTATAGAAAATAGATAGAATAGGGGAGAATACAGTCACCCAGAGTACTGAGCACATTGTCTGTCACAGTAAATATACAAGTAAATATAGTTATGGTCTAACCTTAGCTCGGAGCTGACAGTTGGTCCCAGAGGCACTTAGCTGGTGGTTTCTGGGGTCAGCTGCTTCCCCCCATCTCAGCATAAGGGCTAGACCCTGCAGAGACCAGCTCCAGGTGGTGCTCCTGACAGAAGGCGGGCTGGTCACAGACACCTGGTTTCGGTGACTTGCTGTTCCCTCCCACACACACCCTTTCGCTGTCCTGGTTCCTAACCTTGAACTCCTGGCAGAAGCTGGGTTTGAAGATTCCTGAAGACATTTTGCAGCATGCAGACCTGTTTTGTCATCTCCGTTGTGTCTGGAGATGAAGGTGGGAAGACAGTACTCTAAGAAAACAATCCTAAACAGCAGGCAAGCTCACCCTCAGGTGCCTCAGACTTTAAAGAAATGGCAAACTAAGCAGCTCGTTTTATACATGGCCCTCTTTAACTACATATCTATGCACATAAAATGACACTATATTGAAATAAATGTTATAGCTGAACATTTGCTTTGCAAAAGACACTTTGGTGTAAAAGTCCCTAATAAAATGTGTTTTGTAAAGGACCAGAAATGCGTGAAAGTACAAATGCAAAGTATGATTCATGGGTAAAGAGCTGTTTCCTACTAACTCAAGGTGAAATGAGTGGACTGTGAGATTTGGACTCCAGCTTCATCTTGTGACCACCCATATGAGTGTGTTGGCAGAACCCCAGAGGGCTGCCTGGTGGGCTTTAACTGGGAGGATGGTGGGCATCCCTGGTGCTCTGGGCTCAGTAAGATCTGAGGTGGGTGATGAGAGAGTTGGGTGGAGGTGGGTGAGGACACAGTTTTCCCCAGAGCTGTCTCGGTGGCCTATGTCTGGGGAAACAGAAGGCCAGAGCAGGCCTGGGTGACCCAAGGTGCTGGCTGATTGTCTTGAGCTGGGCCGGCTGTCATCTCCTCCTGGTGCCTGGTCAGCCCCTCAGCGTCCCCCCTGCTGGTCGTTTCCTGGTCACACCGGCCCCTGTAGCTGTGCAAGGAAATCTTTGTGTCCACCTCCTCGAGCCTCTACAGCTTCACCCAGGTCTGGTCGGCTCTGCACACCCCGCTGGCCCTCCTGTTGTCTGAGTTGTTCTCCTGAATGTCTCCTCTCGTAGCACGTGCCACACCACATTGTCATTTTCTGTTTCTCTGTCCGTCCTTTCCACTGGATGTAAATTTCCATTGGGTGTGCTGGCTGACTGACAGGCAGCTGCCTGGATCCTGGACCGGCGGTCCTAGAACAGGATGTGCAGGGCAAACATTTCTCTCCATATGCCCCCAGCCTCGATGGGTGCAGGGC